GTCGGTTTAGTCGGCGTAGTTAAACTCTTTAACAAAGCATACATCTTCCCACCAATCAAGGTAAGTAAACTGGCTGCCTTTTTCTCGTTGGGAACATTGTTCACCACAAAGAACATCTCCAAACGCTCTACGTATGTCGACCACTCTTCCACTTTCGGGTCAAAATTCTCCATTCGTCCGAAATAACCAGCAACTGGAGCACTGAGTGAAGCTGCACTCGCTCCTTCGACTTCGACCTCGGTGGTATTATCTCCCCCGGGCATGTTACTTAATCCCGTAACTCGTCGCCAAAATTTGTAGTGTTCGGAAAGACGAGAATAGAGTCAATTGCAATATTAACTCAACTAGTTTAATGGCGGATGCACTAACAACAACAACGCACGAGGTGAGTCACGTGCTTAGCATACGTCATAACAGTGGGGTCCTCACCTGATTTCGGCAAGAGCTAAGGGCAGTCATTGCGGACATCCAGGCGATGTTCATCAGTTAAAAGTTCCAGACGCTAACCGCTCCTTTCTTCCCTTTCTGTGGTGGCCGAATGGCGATTTGTCCTGTGCACTGAAGGAATACCAGATGTCAGTTCACTTGTTTGGTGCCGTTTCTTTGCCAGCCTGTGCTAATTTTGCACTCCTAAAGATGGCAGAGGATAACAGCCAGCATTTCTCAGCCGATGTCATAAGCACCGTCAGAGGAAACTTCTACGTGGATGACTGCCTCAAGTCATTGCCTTCAGCAGAAGATACTATTGCCCATGTCAGCGAGTTGCGCAGCTTACTACAGCGAGGGGGCTTCCGAGAGCACGCACAGACCACCAAGGAAATCAGCCTCGAACATGTAGTTGAACGAGCACTCGGCGTGCAATAGAGAGTAAACACCGATACCTTTGGCTTCGACGTCAGTGTCAAAGAAAGATCCCCCTTGCGCGGAGAGGTATCTTGTCCATTATTGGATCAGTGTTCTACCCCTTTGGCTTCGCTGCACCATTTGTCCTTACAGCCAAGAAAATTCTACAAGACCTTTGCAAGATGAGGTTGGGCTGGGATGATGAAATACCTCCAGAGTACAATGTACTTGGCAAAAATGGCTTACAGACCTTCCTATGCTGTCAAAGCTTGCGATCAACCGTTGTTTTAACCCAGCCAACTTTGGGACCATCGCTTATAGCCAGTTGCACCATTTTTCAGACGCTTCAGAGATTGGTTTTGGTTCAGTATCTTACCTGTGCCGGGTTGATATCAACGATAGAGTCCATTGCGCCATCCTTCAAGGAAAGTCATGGCTCGCACCTTTGAAGAAATTTACTATCCCTCGATTAGAGCTTTCAGCGGCAACAGTGTCAGTGCGGTCAGACAAAGCCATAAAGAGAGAGCGAGAACTCCCACTTACCGAGCCATCAGTTTTCTGGACGGATATTACATCAGTGTTGCGTTATGTGAAGAATGAAGACAAAAGATTTCACGCATTTGTAGCTAACTGCATCGCAATCATTCGAGACGGATCCGACCCTGACCGGTGGAGGTATGTGAGTGAAGAATCTAATCTAATCGACGACCTCTCAAGAGGGCTATCAGCAGAGACGCTGCTTGACTGCGTGGTTCCTCTCCTTGGAGATCAGCTTTAGCGACAGTAAGCCATCTACAACCTGGCTGTTACTAAAGTTCGGAGACTTTAAAAACGTGTCTCTGTAAGAATCAAACATCTTGGGAAATGAAAATTTTCAACCCCCTTCAAATTTTGCATGCAGTTAGGCACTCAGGGGGATGCACAAAAATGCCTTTTTAAAGGCTGCAGCACTCTTGTTTCCATGGTAACAACGACTGCTTGTTCGAGGCCTGGGACGTCATTTTCATACAAAAACATCGTAAAAAGTGTAAAAATGTTTATTTCTCTAGCATACATAGTGACATCATTCGTCTTTACTTTTATGCACTCAATTTTCCCTGGGAGTGAATGTGAATACATCAATAGATTACTTATCTTGGTACAGTTTCGGTCATTCTTACTGTAGGGTAAAACAGGGAAAACGTTTGTCTAAATTTCTCGAAAAGTACACCGATTCTGGAACTGAGACTACGCACTTAGTTTGTTATAATATTATAGTGTGTAAATATGTAAAACCTCTGTGGTAATTCTCTAGCGAAGCTCAAAAATCAGATATTGCATAAATTGACAATGTTTACATCTAATGTTCTGAACAACAAACGTTTCAGACAAACGAAAAGTGCAAGACTTTGGAAGAATGTTATCTTCTAAGCAATATCCCCAAGAGAAATCTCGCCTCTAGCTTTAATATTTTTAAAAACAATTCATCAACCTTCATGAAGGACTTCTCGACGTAACTAAAGACTTGTACCTTAAATTACTTGCAAATTATCCAGATTCTGAGTACTGTACCCTCTTTCATGGGAATTTAAGCAATCCGAAATCCTCTGACGATACAGCGTTATACTTGTCTGTCATTTGAAACATGTTAAAGTTGGCTGATCTACACGAAGCAATCGTAACACGACAGGGATGAAAAACGTCTGCCCATGCGTGGCGTGAGTATGTTGATGTTGTCGTTGCGTCGGCGAGTTCGATCGTTTGATCAACGAAATGTTGGCGCAATTTAAGCTGTGTATTCGTGGACATATTTTGCCTTTCAGACTGGAATGTAAGGACGCTATTTGAAAATAGCTTCTGTAAACTGAACTCGTCGACATGTTGAACGTATTATTTTTGGGAAATGTTTATTTGCTTGCTCAACAGCCAACTTTCAGTACTCGGTAAGAAAACACATTGCAAGCTTAATTTCTTTGAGTCTAAGTTACCTCCAGTTTAGATAATAAGGTAAGATTCAAATTGATAGCAGGTAAATAATGCCATGCTTTGGTAATACATGTGAATCTCGAAGAAAAATGGAAGTTACCATATTTTTATCAAGGCAAAGCGAAAGCACACCCATCCTACACGGTGTTACATGAACAAATCAAAACCGCTGTAAAATATCGCGTTACCCCATGCATATCGCTCTCACTGGAACTTAACATTCGTTACAGTCCTAAGAGTGTATTGGAAATTAGTTATTTCCATATGGTATGAGAGGAGCTCCTATGAATGCTGCCACTCAGCAAAAGCCACATGAAACCCATTGTTCTCGTGCATGTGCTATCAAAAAGAAAAACTCCTGGGAAGGTTGGAATAAGTACAATGGTGTTGGAACTCAAATGAAAACAGAAGCCAGAATTGCTTCAGGATTAGTGCTGACAGGAAGTTCAGGGCCAAAAGAGCGTTTTCACTCACGTGACCAAATTTCTTTATCGTCATGGTAACCGACTTCATCTGCCATGTTGGTGTTCCATGATAATCAGCTCTGAGTATTGTGACAGGGAACATTTGGAGCACATTTTACGGTTCTGAGAAGACAATCGTGTAATATTTATATTTTCGCTATCACAGTCCTTTGCCTTGTCATTAGCTGTGGGAACAAAACAGGGAAGAAGTGGTCTAACGTCGAAAAAGTAATGTTTTTTCGTGTCCCACGTGTTCAGTATAGTCAAGGAGAGTACACCGAAGAACTTACTTCTGAGCGAAGAAGAATGGGGATCTGTGCGATAAGTAGAGATGACTTAACTGATGATATTTAAGAACGCGATAGGGTCTGCAGCCGGCACTTCGTTTCAGAAGAAGCTGCGAAAGATTGGGATCGATTCAACGTAGACTGGGTCCCT